GAACATCAGGGCTGTCCCCCACGATGAAATATAACCAGTTTTAAAAAAATGCTATTTATATTTGCTCCAGTTTTAATTGTCTAATATAAACTTTGATAATGTGAAATGTGATGATAAAAAAACAGAAGAAGAGATAACATGTTACACTAACTAAAGAGTATTTTATTGGGATATTATGAGACACAAAGAGGCATATGAAACAAAAAATGCAGCTTTCATAATAATTTACAAATAAAAATATCAGAAGCATCGTGTGCTTTGGACCCCATATGTCAATTATTAATAGAAACTCATTTCTCTGCAAGTCATTTTGGGGATGCCTCTATCAGCTTTGCACATCTAGATACTAAATGTGTTTCTAATATGTATTTGGTCAAATAGAATAGATCCTTTACTGTCCTGCAATAAGGAAATGCTTGTGTTATTAGAGTAAATGCACACCACACTCATAACACTGTCTCATTTTCCGTCCACTTTACAGTTATAAACAGTAGCATCAAATTCAAATGACATTTATTAATTTAATGTTTGTAATGTGACTGCAAAGTGCTATGAATTGATGCTAGAACTAAGCAACCAATTCATTTAATCACTGACAGAGCCAACTTAAATTGTATTAACCTGAATATATATTTGTATATGTATAATTTCTTCACAGAAAAACATATCCACCCTTCCTATGATCTTCAGACTTAGAGTATGTCTGAACTCTGATATCAGTAATCTTTCAGAATGACTAGAACAATCTTGTTGGAGTCAAAAAAAAAAGTCCTGCCCCCTGTCAATTATTAACAGGTGCTTTGATACAAAGTGAAGTCCCTATTTCTGTGGGCTTTTAATGTTTGCATACATAGCAAGTGTGGCTTGTCAGTGTTTGTATGCAACAAGGCAGATTAGAGTCAGGTAAAAACAGACTCTGACAAAGACGTACTCTCCAGACGCACTCGCTCTCTTTAGGGACAGGCAGGAATTTCACGTCCTCTCTAGTTTTATCTAGTTCAGGTTTGTTACATGGGCACACACATACAGCATTGACCCCTGATTCTTTGTACACTGTTCTTCTGGAGTACATTTGGGAAAGGTTATAAAATCAAATTTAAAGTTCTATATATCAACATCCATATAGGTAAAAGAGATTCCTAAAGATCTTACAAACATTTTTAAAGCATGCAAATCTAGAAGTGCGTGTCGTTTTGATCACCTGAGTGGATCCTTTGCTGAATTTTGTTTATTTCATTTGCGGCTCATGTTTGCTTTCTGCTTTACTCTGGCCCGTTTGAAATGTGTGATACTGCTAAAGGCAAGGCAAGGCTTGCCTTACATGGAGGCAAGTATTAAAATAGAAGGAAAATCAGAATTAAAGCACGAAAAGAACAAACATGATAAAAGCAGGTAGTAAAGCAAATAAAACAGTTGGACCAAACTGATAACTGATATTCAACTAATGATACCTCAGTTAATAGTTTAACTTCAAATGTCAAAGGCAGCTCTAAACTGATGGAGCTGAAAATATTAGTTTTCAGCTCTTTTACAGTAATTTGTTCCTTATAAGTGGAGCATAGGAACTAAATGCTGCTTCTCTGGGTGGACAGAGTAGGCTGGAACTAGCAGACCTGAGTGGTCTGGGAGGTTGACCACCAGTATAAGGACTTTAGAAACGGGCTGATGTGCTCTAATTTCTTAATTCTAGCGAGAACACGGGGGGGGGGGGGGGGGGGGGTGGGTTGGATGAGCTGCAGCTGCTTGATGGATTTTTAGGCAAACCTATTAAGTAAGTAATCAGTTCTACTAAAGATAGATGCATTAATTAGTTTTTCTAGATACTGTTTGGTAATTATTAATTTAGCCCTGGAAATGTTCAGGTAATAAAAGGCTTCCTTAGGCCAATTCCCAATACATCCCCTAGCCCTACTTTTAAGCCCTGTTTTAAAACATAAATAAGTAGTATTACATTTCTGCAACATATGTCATTGACTATATAGAACAAAAAGTTCAGTTTTTGTTTAATCTAACCATATCACCCTGCTCTGCCCACCTGAATATCTTAGAGCTTGTAGCTTTGAAACCCTTTAAACAGATTTAAGGGATGTAAATCCATTCTCCCAGATCCATGTCTCTAGTTCAGAGGTTACGGATTAGTGGACCACGGTCCGGATCAGGACCCACCTATTGGCTAATCTGGACCCAACCTGATTTAAAACATTTATAAATTACCGCATGTGTCTAACTTCAATTGCGCTGCTTATCCTGTTGATCTGGTAAAGCCCTCCGGAGAGCCAGGACCAGGGTACAGGTGATACAAATTTGCCAATGAGCTGTGTCAGTCTGGGTTGCTGCTGTGAGCCACTTTTAGACACAGCAGCCAAACCTGTGGCAAGCCGGGCGATGGGAAAGAAGGAGAAGACGAAAAGAAAAAAGAGAGCGGAGAAAGTGTGGACTGCTGGAGAGCTGTGGTAAACTGGTAAAAGAAAAGTGAAATGGTGTGCTCAAAGATGACCCTGCACAATTTTAGTACGTTTGGCTCAACCTGCTGCTGTGAAGCAGGATTCTCCACCATGACTATAATCAAAAATAGATATCGATCCAGGCTCATTTTCCTTTGAATAAACCTTACATGCACAAGTGCACTCTCAAAAAAAAAAAAAAAAAACTACAGGTGCTTGGTCCCAGGTACTCAGAGATTCACTTCCATACAGAAAGCCAATATTCTTAACTTCAGCTACCACAGAAAACATGTCACATTAAATAATACTACTTATACTTCAGCGATAGTGTCTATGTGTTACTTTATTGTAAATCTCGTACCATGTCTGTTGGTTGTGCTGTTCTTTTTACATCTCTTTGCAGGTGATGAAGCAGACTGAAGATGTTTTATCATTATCTCCCTTTTATCTTATCTTTCTTTCATCTTTTCTCCTTTTTTCTGTTTTTTCTTTCCTGCTCTAGTTACATTGGAGTGTCCATATAATCTGTAAAACTCCCTGCATAATTATAATAAAGCAATTTATATGCATAAATCAAGCGGAACACTATGGAGATAGCCATACTGCTTCACTTGTGAAAGTAAAATCTGTTAGGCGCTTTCTGGCATCAAGACAATTATTCTTATTGCCACATCGCTGGACAGGACACAAAAAAAAAATTCGTTTAAAAATTCAATGTAGGCTTATAACATGGATGCATAAAAACTTAATTTTATTTCAGGGTTACATTCTATTCAAAATAACATTATAATAAAAAATTGCTCAGAACCTTTACTGACTGATGATTTTTCTGTATTCGAACCCCGCTGATTTTTAATTGGTTATCCCCTGCTCTAGTTGATTCTAAAAGCACACATAAAATAAGGTCTGAAGCTATGTGGCTGACTTGTGGCGGACTCAAACGTGTGATTCTTGCTCATGCATCTCCTCATGTGTTTCACCTGCAGCCTTGGACCATTCTAGATTTTCTATAACAACATACAGTGAATCAGCTGAAACCAGTGAAATATCTGAAAGACACATCTCCATCATTTGATTTTCTTTCCGGAAATGGTTTGATGTATTCAGCGGGTATCTATGAAGCCAAGGGCCTCAGGCTAGAATTGGATGGAAAACAGCTATACACAACAGATGACTGTTTGCTCTAAACTTAATCACCGGCTAAAAAGGACTAACGTTATAAAACCAAGGTCAACTAACTATTTTGAGGATTCAATATTTATGTTTTAGTGATGCTGTTGGACATAAGGAAACATAAGGGTATGATACTGCCTGCATAATTAAGCACAGACTACAGCTGTACTTGAGTAGAAGTCAGACTCTTTATGTGAAATGCACTGATGAAATACATCTAAAGTTTAGGGCTTTATTCTCTCTATCTAAAATAACAATATATATACTAGGTAGCATATGTTCCTACTATTTTAATAGACAGATACTTGTTAAAAGCAGCAGTATGTCAGTGAATGTTTATATTTTAAAGCTTTTGAGCATATCTGTGAAAACATATACTTTTTGTGATTCTATGTGGATTAAGAGATGGTAAATGGTTGAAGGAAGCTGGTACAATAAAGTAGATCCAGCAAGCACAAATAGGGAATCAGATTTAAATAAGGTAAGATCAATTTATTGCTTATGAATATCAACAGCTATAATTTATATACATATTGAAAAAAATCCAAGTTACAGCTTTAATGAGACGCTCCAGACGTGCCTTAATACAGAAATACAATCATCTTGAAGTAAATATGTGACCAGAGCTCAGAATATGAAAAAAAAAACAAGCTGGTTACATTTCCACTTTCTTAAATATGACAATATTCTATATACAAGTTGTGGACTCATTATAGCTCAAATTACATACATTATGACATTCAGTATCCTAATAATCAGTTAAAACCATTAAAAAATTACCTCAATGATGCATAAAGTTGTTACTAATATTTACTGAATTTTACGCTGTTGCAATCACCTGATGCTGTTACCAGAGCAGAAATCAAATTCAACTGTTTCTTGTTTAGCTTCTAAAGGTTGCAGCTAAAGACTGAATGAGCTTAGAAAAGACAGAAATTATTTGTAAGTAGTTACAAAAGAAAACATTTGGGATCATCCAGTTTTTGTTCTTTGTTTTGGGTCATCTCTATCACACAGATAACTTTGCCTATGTTCCAGAAATAGCAGCAATTAAATCATCCCTGTTGCTATTGAAAGCAACCACTACAGGTTTGCTCAAACTGCCTGATCCTTGGCAAAGGGAGCTTTCCTACTGGTGAGATAGTAATAGGGTTTTCCATCCAGGAAGGATCCCCCCCACCCTGAAGTAGAACAGTTAAAGCAGGTTAGAACTTGTAAAGTCATCCTGAAGCATCATTCTTTACACAAAGGGTTAACAAGCTGTTTCTGTGAACTGAACAGCCCACCTATCATCCACTCCCCCCATGGAGTACCATGGATTCACGTGACATGTGTGTGTGAGTGACAGAGAGTGTGTGTGTTTCCCCCTCAGCCGTATATATTGAACCATGTGGACTCAGACGTGGAGTTTTGTAGGACAGGCTTTCTTCTGGCTGCAGGGCTTGTGACATTCAGCTCCACGTTACTTTGGTGAAGAGAGGCAGCAGGAATATAAAGCTACCTTCAGATCTCTCTGTTGGAAATCAAGGAACCTTGCACAGTAACAGATCCTGCAGGAAAAATGAGCGACTTACTGGACGACGGCTCTTTCATGTTCACCTCGGAATCTGTAGGAGAGGGACATCCAGGTGATTCCTTAATTTAATTAATTAATTAAAAAAGTATAAAAGTTGGATTTATATAACCAAAGAATGCTTTATTATTTGATAGGTATCTATTTTTCTACTTAAAATGGTTAATTTTACATTTGAACATTGCAATTTCCAATAAAATCCCTGTTTTATTTATAAAATCCGTCGACAGAGATGGACCTTTAATCTTTAGGCATGTTTGGAGTTTCATTCAAAGCAACATGTCTTTATGACCCCCCCCTATCTTTAACCTATGGGACAGCAGATGCATGTGCAGCAGCAGATGCATGTGCAGCAGCAGATGCATGTGCAGCAGCAGATGCATGTGCAGCAGCAGATGCATGTGCAGCAGCAGATGCATGTGCAGCAGCAGATGCATGTGCAGCAGCAGCTACATGTGCAGCAGCCTGGTGTATGGTTGCATACTCCATAAAAAAAAGAGTATCCATGTGCCATTTACAGGAAAACTTGTTTAAATGAAAGCCTAGAAGATAAAAGCAGTGGTTCACTCTGACCTGCCTGTTGGTATAAGTGAAGGCCAATCATCCAGCCCTGTGTTGTAATCCCTTCACAAATATGTAATCTAGCTAAGTCCTCTGTGCCGAATCGATAATCAGTAAATGCAGCTGTATGGTAGACCACAAGTGCAACATTAAACCCTCAGTTTTATATTAAACCTATATGATTCATAAGTTAACTGTTACCTTTTTGGATCTTTTTTTTTTTTTTTTTCAGAAAATCAGTAGAAAGCAGAAGCAACTGATAACACACCTCAAAGTCTGGACTGTTCTCACACATTTTGTTTTTCAAAGCTTTGCTCAATGTTAAGTCCAGAACTTCACTGGACGGCCTTCAACTATGGATTGATTGAGCTCCTACAGAGTCCAACCAGATATTAGGTCCTGTTTCTGATGTAACTCGTTCATTGCGTTGCTTCAGCAGGGTGACAAAGAGGGATGAATAGGGCGGCTCAAGAGGCATTGTCCCTGTCCGCTGCACTCAGCCGAACACAAAACACCTCATGTGTCAAATATTAATGTGTGAGTTCTTAGACAGTGATATCTTGATATTACACAAGACCTGCAGAAATAAAGTGGTGACGGGCAACTTTTCTGCTTCTAAAAACAAGAGTCAAAAGAACAAGCCTTGAAATTTCAGTTTCCAGCATTTGATGTGGTTTGTTTGAAAATAGAGTCCTTTTTTTTCCTTTTTTTATTGAACTTTGTAAATTGTTCTACAGATAAGATTTGTGACCAAATCAGTGATGCTGTCCTGGATGCACATCTGAAGCAGGACCCAGATGCCAAAGTGGCCTGTGGTAAGACAACTAGAACTTCCACTTATGACATGTTATGTTTGTTAAATGGAGAAGCATGAAGATATTCAGCTGATACCCTTGCTGTTAATTTAACAGCGTAGCAATCCTTAGTGGTATCACCTGCTTGCCCAGAAGGAAACACATTTGGGGATTTTTAACGCAAGCCTAAAAAAGTAGCAGTTCTGCTGCTTTTAATGTCACTTTGGAGAAATCATGGAGCATTTTCTGAATGCTCAGAAACTAAAAAAATGTAATTTGAAAAAGTGTCATTACAGTAAAGCAGCGCACCCAGTCATGCTACAACAAAACACTGTGATTCCCACCAAGTTAAGCCTAATTTACACACACTAATTAAAACAGTTTCAAGTCAATCGCAATTTTTTTAGGGACATGAAAATGATTTGATTTTTCCACAAAATCATTTTCATTTTTCTCATGGTTAGTCCTATGCAACAGTTTTTTTTTTCAATACCCAGCATGCATTGCAAAATGGGAAACACTGATGGCAGTTTTATTGTTGACAAAGATACTCCTCTCTACTTGCAAAGTGGAAACTGTGTTTCAGATCGCAGCTATTTTCTATCTTTCGATGATGAGAGGATCATCTACAAACTGAATGGTGGTCTCCTGGGCGAGGTTATTCACCTAAGAGACAGAAATGTTGGAATGTATACAGCTGCATGTTAGCTTTTGTAAAACAAAACCCTTAAAAACAGCATCTTGGTTAGAAAGCAAAAAAGAGCTGCTGCAACAAAGAGACAAAGATTCAAAGAAAGTCACAGTAGCAATAAATGTGTGACCAGGTGTGTATGTGAATGTCTTCATGTTCCCGTATGGATGTATCATAAAAGTGAAGTCTGGCGTCTTTTGTAGAGCATTGCAAAGGGAGAGAGGAGGAACCCCCCCCCTCTTAGCCAGGGAGCAGCCATCCCAAAGCCTGATGGCACAGCATGGATCCCCGTAACATTGCTCCTATTTCTAATCTTTCCATTGTGATTGAACAGAAACTGTATGTAAGACCGGCATGGTGCTGCTTTGTGGTGAGATCACATCTCGGGCCAACGTGGACTATCAGAAGGTAGTGAGGGATGCCATCAAACATATTGGGTACGACAACTCTGAAAAAGGTGAGGAAAATGGCCTAGAAAGCAGGCGAGACAGTGGAAGTGTGTTTTTTAGTGTCTTAAACTCTGGTTTTCTCTGTTTCGAACTGCAGGTTTCGACTATAAGACGTGTAATGTGCTGGTGGCCCTGGAGCAGCAGAGTCCAGACATCGCTCAGGGGGTCCACATTGACAGACATGAAGAGGACATTGGAGCAGGAGACCAGGTTAGACTGCATGTTGGGTTAATGTCAAGGTTATGATTTGATTCAGCAGTGCAGTGCTTGGACCACATGGTGGGGTTGTTCACAGAAACTTCAACACAGAACCTTCTTTAAAAGGTCTCATCCAGCTTTTAGAGGATTTAGTGTATGTTTGAAAGTGCAGAAATGCAGATTTTAAAGTAAAAGAAACAGCATTAGTCTGCTTCTAAGGAGCTTCAACTTTGAAATTGGTTTTTAAAAACTTTCAAAACTAATTTAATTTAATTAAAAAAATTTTCCCGACTTTGTCCTACCTCTACAGGGTCTGATGTTCGGCTACGCCACAGATGAAACAGAGGAGTGCATGCCTCTCACAATCGTCCTAGCCCACAAGCTCAACTCAAAGATGGCTGAACTCAGGCGCAATGGCACAGTGCCCTGGCTGCGCCCTGACTCTAAAACACAGGTATGTTTCTTAAATTCCTAAAGTGGCTTCTCTCCTCCTGTCTGGACACCTTTACGTGTTCTTGCAACAAGATCATTTCTAAAATACAAATAAACTGGTTTCCATGGGAAAGACTAGCATGGGGAATAAAGGAAAATTGCTACAAAATGCGAAAAAGTAAATGAACATTTCATTATGTGCTAAAATGCCTTACTCTAAAATATATCCAATTCAGAGATGTAAAATCACAGACAACACACTTCTTCTTCCCACATCTATAAAATGAGATAAAGCTTGACATGTTGAGAACAGGACACATGAATAAGAAAGATAGGAGAAAATGTTATTTTTAATCCAAACATTTGACTTTGTTTATGTCCTGTAGGTGACTGTACATTATGAACAGAAGGATGGAGCCGTGGTGCCTAAAAGAGTTCACACCATCGTCATTTCTGTCCAGCATGATGACGGCGTCTCTCTGGAGGAGCAGCAGAGGGTCCTGAAGGAGAAGGTACTTACCTTTCTGGGCTCAGGCAAACATGTTTGTGGAGATAAACTCAGATGTACAAATTGACTGGTAAAATTTCTCCCATCAGGTTATAAAAGCTGTGGTTCCTGCCAAATATTTGGATGATAAAACCGTGTATCACCTCCAGCCAAGCGGACGTTTTGTCATCGGAGGACCACAGGTTGACATGACATAAATGGCTAAATTAATGTTTGAAAAGTTTTCTTTGCTCACGCTCAGATATTATCACCCAACAGGGTGATGCTGGTGTTACAGGAAGAAAGATTATTGTAGACACATATGGAGGCTGGGGAGCTCATGGCGGAGGGGCCTTCTCTGGGAAAGACTTCTCAAAAGTGGACCGCTCTGCTGCCTACGCCGCTCGCTGGGTAGCCAAATCTTTGGTCAAAGCCAAACTGTGCAGGAGAGTTCTGGTTCAGGTGAGCGTCCAGTAACAGTTCAGTCTCTTTATATCACTTATATGTCTGTTAGTGAAAATATATTTTATCATCCATTTCCCTTTAAGGTGTCTTATGCTATTGGTGTGGCCCATCCTCTGTCCATCTCCTTGTTTACATACGGCTCCTCCAAGAAAACAGAGTCTGAACTGCTCAAGATTGTCAACAAGAACTTTGATCTGCGCCCAGGAGTCATTGTCAGGTAATCACAGAGTTTTATGTCTGACATAAAACCTATCGGTGTTTAAGAGAATTAGAAAATGTAACAAAAAAACCCCCACTAGTTTTAGACTTCAAATGAAACTTGAAGTCTGCATCAACTAATTTATGCTATTTATTTATTTGCGTCTTAAAACAGTAACAAAGAATCAAGGTGCTGCTTTTTTTTCTCTGAGTGGCGACAGTTATCATCTTTTCTGGAATCGGTCTGAATCCAGACACATGAGGCTCTTATGACTTTCCTCTAAAATTCCCCAAATATTTAAGATAACCTTAAAAAAAGGCCTATGTGTATGTGTATAAATATGAGAACAAAGGGTAAGATTAGTCATGTATGTGCTCTATGCATTATATCTAGGCTACATACTATCTTAAAAATTAATAGTTATATGAAAAATAAAAAGAAAATAACAGTTAATTTTACAGTAAAATTATTTCTAGGCAATATTTAATAAACAACCATCAATTTTGATGTTTTCAATGGAGAAAGATAGGTTGTCTAAACAAAGCATATAGATGAGCAAGTTAAAAAAATATTATGTGAGAATGTGAGCCTTGTGGCTGTGTTGTCTCCACAAGCTTTGAAATTTAATGGAGTTTATTCTACCCCCATTTGCTTTTTCTCTCCACCCTCTTCAGGGATCTGCAGCTGAAGAGGCCCATCTACCAGCAGACGGCTGCTTACGGCCACTTCGGACGACCAGAGTTTTCCTGGGAGGTTCCTAAAAAGCTTGTCTTTTAAAAACTCCACCTTCCTCGTCCTGATTAACCATCTTCTAGAGTGACCATGATGCCTGTTTATGGACCGTAATGTCCGACTCATTCAGGTGCATAACCCATTCAGACCAGCCTTTTAAAACCTTCAGAATCCATTTTAGCTCCTTTGGACAATATTGAAATTATTGAAAACTTCTGCAGAGGATTAACCTCTTGCTTTTCTACTGTGTATTAGCTGAGTTAAGTGCCTAATGTCTGAATGGGTTACTAAAACCAAAGTTAGGAAAACTTTGAATTTGCTTAAGGACAGTTCAAGTGGTAGGAGATTCTTTCATGGGATCAACTTTAAAATGTAAGGGTGGTCCAAAGTCAATTATAAAGCCTGTTTCACAACAAACAAATAATCTAAAGATTTCTACAACTACCTGAGAAATATATATATTTTTTTAAGCTGGCAGTCTATTGCAATGAAAACACCTCAGATGTTCAGCGTAACTAGGTGTTCTAAAAAGCCACAACATGGTTTTCATTGGATTAATGTCACAAACCAACCAAGTGAGGTTGCTCTTGTTGTTACTGTGCCTCTGTGATAACTACAGTGTTGTCTCTGAGTCGGGTTTGTGATGCTTGCAGCAGGAAGCCGTTTGTACTGCTACTGTACAATCAGCATTATACAACAAAGGAAATCATTAAAAAAGAATGGAGCAAGTTTAAAAATAACACTGCAGTCTTATATTTTTCACAAACCCTTTTTTTTTTTTTTGCTCCATGTGTGCCGTTATGTCATAACTTTAAATGGAAAGTGTCTGTTTCAAAAAAACTCCACTAGCTTGGATGTTCTATTTGTGATTTCTTCTGAGGGTTATACAGCTTAGGAAATTATTAGACAACCTAACCTGGTCTTGGGAGTGTTTGTGGCACACAGAGCTAAAGCTTAATTATTTAGCAGAACAGCAATATCTTATTTTATTTCTAAATCTGACCAAATCTGCTGTGTTGCAAATGTAAACATCCTTCTGTTTAGACGTACAGACTGAGCTCCTGTTAGCCTGTCTGAATGTGAATTTTATAATCATCAAAATATATCACTGTTCTCACATTCACTTGCTTACTCTGCTGCATCATGGCTCTAAATCTTTGGATTTAGATTAAGGAGGGAGTTTAACTTGAAGACTTCTTAAAGGGCATTCAGACATTCTAATTTTGAGCTTTCATTTATGTTTAATCTAATTTAATCCCTGTGAAGCACTTCTGAAGAGACTATAGAGGTACTGCATGTGTGTATCTTCCCCTGCAGCCAGTGATGTGTAAATAATAGAGGTTTTCCTCTATTTTGAGGTATTAACCATCGATGTCATCCTCTGCTTGCTTTATGGGCAGAGAAAATTGACTATGTAAATAATCAAAGAATAAAAGGAATATAATTGTAAACAACCGTCTGACCTTTTCTGCAACAAATTAATTTATTGGTGATGAGTTTGGTCATATTACTATAATTAAAGCCTCGTTTAAAACACATATTTGAATGTATGGGATCTGCTGGGATCCCTTGTAAGATCTGCAAGAAGCTTAAAACCTCAGAAAATTTTTGAAAATTCCATCCTTTAAGTTGAGGTCACACATAAGAAATTACGATGCCACAAAAGTTTGTACCTCTAGCAATTTATTCCAAATTTAAGTGAAGCATTTCACTTGATACTATTTTAAACAGCTCAGAGTTTCTCTTCCTGGGATAAAAATATCATATGCCACCAAGAAGCTTTTTAAGGCATTTTTGCAAATAGAAAAGAAAAGAAGGCAATTCAGGCAGGTGAAAGTTTGAAAATGGCTATAAGAATATCATTGTTAGAGTTATTAAATAGTATCTACATACCAGGCATTTTCTTAGGAAAGATTACAGAAAAATATAAAGCTTTTTCTGTGCTGTCTTAACAATTAATTTCATTTACAAACCTTTACTGGGACTTTACTCTTGTGCTTTGGTCAGACAAGGCTAACATTTAGCTTTTAAAGAGCAAACAGTGTGGAAGACCTGAAAGGTAAGAGAAAAAAAAATGTGGAACAGAAGTTTTCATGTTGTGATGGTGGAGGGGGAAAAAAGACTTGGAAACTACGATATATATATATATATATATATATATATATATATATATATATATATATATATATATATATATATATATATATATATATATATATATAAAGAAATATTCTGAAAATAGCCTCATGTCAAGTATTAAACACGGTAAGAAATCTGTGAGACTATGGGTCAGTTTTTCTTCCTAAAGCAAATGGGATCTTGTAAGAGTGCACAGAAACTCAAATTGTCAAATGAAAATATTATAAGTAAACTGAAAATGAATGGGACTAAAAAGGTTATTGATCTATAAAATATCAGTCTGAATTACCAAAGCAATGCAATAATCCAGTCTATGGTTATCGCATTATCCAGTATTAGGAGATAATAAATCGCAACTCTCACTTTGTTCTCCAGCATTATGAAATGTTTTCAGAGGCTTTTTGCTGCCTTACATATAAACCTGGATGTAGAAAGTAATGATATGAAGGATGCCAATAACTGAGCCGACAGTGATTTCATTACGAACAAACATTACTGCATGCTTTGTTGCTCAGTGAGAGCAGGGGCACCGTATACTGCATGGAGGCTTTAGTTGGGTTTTTTGACTCTTCTCTTCTGGCTTCATTTTCTTTCCTCTAATCTCTTGCTGAATGTCTTTTCCTTCTCTTTCTGCGTTATTTAAATGAGCTTAACTTAAAGCTTTTTTTTTTTTTTTTTATTCTCTGTCATGTTTATGGAAGTTCCAGCAATGAAAGCCAGATTAATTTCAATACTGTTAGGCCCCTCACCATTAATGCTTAGACATGTCTGTCACATCAGTTACGAGAGGAAAACACATTACTTAAATTTAACAAAAATGCACACATTCACATTTTGAATTCTTAAAGTTTTTATTTATTGAGCATCGGGGCATAAAATGTGCATACAATCACATCTCATTGCATCAAAAATAGATTTTACAGCCTAGATCTCTTTGGTTATCAACAAGATACATAAGGCACAAGGTGCGTTTTTTTTGCTTTTTAGCAAACAGTGTACCGAATATTTGATTCTAATGTGGCTTACAGGAGCTGATACGCTTGTAAAAATGCTCTCAACAGCGATCTGTTGATTGCATGAGGGACATTCTTTTTTTTTTTTAAACAATATTTACTCCTTTCTTGAGCATCTTGCAGGTACAAAAGCGACAATTACAGCAACATATATCTGACATTACAGTCTAGATTTACAAAAGAAATCTAATATATCATAGGTAGGTATCATCGACTGAAAAAGCAGCGCCTATTCTACACATGATGAATTAAAACAGGATACAGAAGCAAGGTTTAATTCTGCTTTGAGTTAAAAGTTGTAGCTGGTGTTTGAAGAGTTTCCTGAGTGCAAAGATCCAATGAATCCATAAACAAGACAACAGAGTGCATATGCTGGAATGACATGAGGAGGAGGTGGAACTGGGACAAATGATTTACTAGTGTTCTATGATGCATAATCAGCTGGATATTTCTAAAACAGCAACAGAGGAATAGGAAAAAGCTCCACATTTAGAATGCATATACAGCATTTTATGAGGAAAATGCATATTTTAAAAGTAGTGTAAATTCAGATAATTTGACAGACTAAACCAGGAGGGAGCATGGACAGACAGAATAGACTGTAATCATTTTAACTAACATCTTTGTGTCTGAACTCAGATACAGACGTGCCATACTCTGCTTGACCAGCAGAGAGCAGCAGATAATCAGTGCTGCTGGTATCTGCCTTCCAGTTTATTGCAGTGTTGCAGCTGTAGAAGCCTCTCAAGCCTTCCCATGTTCAGTTTACATTCAGCCTGAATTCAATCAATTCCTGTTTGACAGATTTGCTTGCAACCTACCAGCACTAAGACAACACAAGGCTTTTTTGTATTTAAGGCAAGGCTGATAACCTTTTTATGCAAGTATTAAAGCACTGAGGTCTGTTTTCTCTGGTTTCCACATCAAATCCCTAAAACAAACAGTAACTTTGCTGTCTTCGGTTATCTAACTGCATATTTGTCTAGTTATTTCTGGCACTCACATAGTCCTTCGTCAACTAGTGGTCTAACGGTCTTATTGCATAAAAATAATCACATTACATCCAAACAGAAGGCAGAAGATTGAAAATTCACCCTTTTTCTCCTCGGTTTTGCATTCCAAGACTTATGTACTGATTACTTGTAATTTTCTGAAGAGAAAACCAGCAGGTTAACTAAAAAAGGCATTCTTTGCACCTTGTACATGGAATAGGATGCAGCCCTTTCTCAGAACCTGAAAGCACATGTTTTGTCTCACTAAACCCAATAAACCCAGTGCTCTGGCTTGAATTACCTTGGATGCATCTCGTCACAGAGAACTCTCTTTCCTATTCTTCTATAAACAGACAAACCTGGTATTATTTGACGCTGAATATCAATACAGCAATAAAACACTTTTTTTTTTCTCTCTTGTTTACAATCAATTCTTCCATTTAACTGTGTAAGGCACAAGGTGTATGCTTCAAATACAGGAATAAAATATTTGTGTATTTTAGGCATGAATTGTTAGATTGGTAGATACAAAGATGTGCAGCTGCATGTAAAATTAGAGCACCAATACCGCATTCCTAACAGATAATATTCAAATTCTAATCAAGTTTGGCCAATTAAAAAAACCTTTGCAATCTATGTATCTTTGGTTTAAAAATAAAATGCATTTGGAAAAGATGAAATATCGTTTAAAGCAAGGGAAACTTTTGCAGAGCAGGATGTTAATAGGTAACATATAGCTTAACTGTGGTGTAAATGCAGAGTACTGGTTTGTTCTTTCTGCAGGCTTGAGTGAAACATTTCTATGCTCCTTTATTATTCACATATTTATGCTTAGTCTCAACACTCCGATACTGTCAGCCAGGCCGTCCAGCAGCCTCTCTTTCTCAGCATCCAATCAAAGTATTGTTGCAGGTATGAGATGGTCCAAAGCGGCATGAGGGAAACTGTTAACAGTTGGGCTTGACCAGTAAATTCTCCCTATTCGATTAGAAAATAACTGCTTCTTCCGGTCGATAAAGACAGCTGATGGTGTCACAGCTGATGGACGACTATGTGCAAAATGCAAACAAGGTCCTTTGAGACATAAATCCAGATGCAGACAGAATACAAACTCAGCAGCAAGTCTACACCAACTCTGTACTGGCCTTAAGTTGTGTGTTTTTTTTTTTTTAATGGTTAAATGAAGATGTCCAGACATGCAGATTGAAACTCCCTTTTCCACTGGAGTTTTAATGGAGTAAAAAAAGGTAACAATGAAGCTGCTAGAAATGGCTACAGTCTGGACATGTTATCAGGTTGATGAGGATGCGACTGTCCCCCCATTCCCATCAGAGTGTCCAGCTTGAGTCCTCTCCTGGCCGATCCCAGGGACCCTCCCCGTGCCAGCACCGCCATGGTGTCTCCTGACATGCCAGCGAACTCGAAGGCGAACGTCCCGTAAAACAGCATAGTGATTACACAGAACACCCATTCAAAGATGGCCGAGGCGTGCTGCAGCACGAAGCTCTCCTGACAGAAAAACACACCGCCTGGAAAATGTAGTTAAGGAAAATCTAAAACTACAAAACAGAAAGCATAACACGACTGACACCATTACAAGGGCCTGTAAAGCAGGGCTGGGTTGGCGGGAAGATTCATGAGGATGAGGATTAATATTCCACACTTTATTACAAAACCATTTATTTAACTGTATTTTATCAGACAATGGGGAAAAAAATAAAGGTTTAAACAACCTGGTTAAAAACTTTCTTAAGGTCAAATTTGACTGATACTACAGGTTTTTCTGGGGGTAACTACCAATTTTGAACATTTAGATCCTTTGCAAAAAGCCTAAATCCAAGGGGATTAGATAGAGATTGCTGTAAACGGCATTCTTTCCCCCCCGACTTAGCCAAAGTCTCTCCTCTAGGTTTACTCCAAAAGAAAGTTTAAAAAAACAAACCACTGGACTTGTTTTCCATGTTTCTCAATTCAAAATGTCTGGAGTAGCGTTGAGCTCCAGGCTTTATAGAGTAGCCCAATAAAAGCCTTGTTATGGCTTAGAAAACATGTAAACTGAACCGAAAAACAGTTTCACCACTTAGTAATGGGAGTCGATAAGGTCATTGTTGGGCTGCAAATTAACCTGAAACTGGCCCATGCATCTGTAATGGGGAGTTTTTCACTTTTTTCAACATGATATGACCTGATGACTGACAATCTTCACCAGCATACTCTAGATTTAGTTCAGGACTTTAACCATTTGGTTCCACTGGATGTCAAAGCGATGCATATATGCGCCGGAACTGCACCGCAGCTTCTGCCAGG